CCTCTAGTGGCTTTAAATACTCCTGTGAACTCCACAACCAGGTTTTCCAGGACTCTGGACCTTGTTCATTTATGGAAGTGGACATGGATACTTATGATTACACAGAAGAAAGAAAGACACAAGCAGAAGGAGCAGATGCCTCTGACATTTTCCCTGACATTTTGTGATGCAGTAGTCATTCTCCTTCTGAATAGCATTGAGTTTTTAAGAAACATTTATTTTAAATATAATTTGAATCCTAGACACAAAGGATAAAAACTTTTTAATTTTTTCCTCTTTATTATCTACTCATTATTTGGGGTTAGAAAATATTTTTTTTTGTCATGGATACAAGAAATAACAATATCACTTCATGTGCTGATTGGAATTGATTGCAACAAAATATGTGAGTTCTTGTTCTTTCATTTTTCTACATTTTTCTTTCTTCTCTTTCATTTTTTGATGCATGATTAAGTATATGTAAAAGTCAACATTTTGAGTAGTCATAGAATCAAACATTGTTACTTCTAATTTTCTAAGAAAATTGATTTTTTCAATCAATACATGTAATGAAAATGTTTCACAATTCTAAGAAATTTTTACAACCTTTAGATTCATAATTTGACAGTAAGTACTTTACCAGACAATGATAATGGATGTGCTCTAAAAGGATCATGAGCATGGGAACAATCGATTGAAGTTTTTGTTTCAAATATGAAATAGCAGAGGCTGGGAGACAAGACAAAGACAAATTGTGGGATGTTTTCACTATTCTTAAGACAGAAAAGAAATGATAAAAATCATAAGCATTTGAAAACACTATCAAATAATGAAATGAGTAATGAGCAAAATAAAAATAGCAAGAGAAAAATGGACATTAATAATTTTGGTTCGTGAGTTGATGAATAGTTTTGTAGATCACTTATCTAAAAATATAGCTCCTTACAAGTGGAAGGTTTCTTGGATACCATATTTCCTCAATTCCTTTTTCCATTTCTTGGGGTACTGGGGATTAAACTCAGTGCCTCACTCCGTCTAGGCAAGTATTTTACCACTGAGCCATATACCAAACTTTAATCCTTAATTATTTAAGAATAAATAGGTGTCCAAAGAATTTGGGAGGAGCTTTCCTGTATCACATACAAGGTGTTCCTTTGTATCATAGATTCTATAAGATTTCAAAATAAAGAGAAGAAATTTTCAGTTGCTCTAGTTGAAGTTCAGATTATAAAATAACAAAATAAATAAATTACTGAAGTACAATATAGAAATGAAAGGAATATTTTCTGGAAGTGTTTGATTTAATCATTCCTAATTATAAAAGAGAGATATTTTTCCTCCTAGGTATTACATCGGAAGTATTTTGAATGAATTTATTACCTTGATTTTAGTTCTTCCATCTCTGAAATAGGAAATTCTTTTATCCAATACCTAGTGATTAATTTGGGGATTTCACTAAAGAGTCATTGTGAAAATAATTTATAAGTTGTATAAAATCCTGTATTTGGTGGCATGATAATCTCATTAAAGAAAATTATCCTCCCTTTCCCTCGTCCTACAAAAGTCATACAAATTTTCAGAATATTGGTTCCTTTTAAATTAATAATAAAACTTAATTTTAATTAATTCTTGCAATATATTAGATGAATGTATCTATTTGTAGCTGCTTGATATGAATATTTTTAGTCAATTTCACAAGAATCCTATGTGTTAGTAACTATCATAGCTGTTTTACCTATGAGTATACCAAGGCTCAGAGAGTTCCACAGGTTGCCTAAGATTATTCAGCAATTAAAGAAATCATCTAGTCTATGTTAACAGCACACTCACCCACAGTGATAGTCTGACTGCCTTAAGGGTACAACTACCAACTGTGTTTTATTAATTAAAGATAACACTCCGTTCCAAAGAGTACAATTACCGTGAGAGTAAGGAAATCCAGGTGACCATGAAAATCAGAAGTTCTGTATTTTTCCTTTTTAAATTAATTCCTTTTTATAGGCTGTGTTGAGGCAAGATGAACATTTGTGTCCTGACTGGACCTTCCGGTATGCTGTCTAATGTAGATTTTGTTGGTGAACTTGTTCCACCAGTTGTGTTTTAAACATGGGGGCATTTCTACAGTGCCCATGTCAGAGGATGCTAAACTTTTGTATGACATATGCTGAGAATTCAGCATCCTCTCTTATCTGTTGCAAATTTATTTTGTTCCTCTTTTAAAACCACAAGAAGACTAGTGTTAGTTTAACAAAATAAAACAAAACAAGAAAAAATCCAACAGAGCCCCTTAACAAGAGAAAATTATAAATTGAATCCAAAATGTCAGCTATTAGATTTAAGAGATTATGTAACATATTCAAATCCTATCAAGATTTTAAAGTAGAATGAGAATTCTACGTAAAAAGCAAATCCAGATATAGGTGGAAAAGTGAAAACATTGGGGTAAATGTAGATGGTGATATAAATATTTTCCATTTCCTTATATCGAAGATGTCCTGTGGAGTTGTGGAGGAAAGGAATGGATCTGATTTGTTTTATTTGAAATTTTTGGTAATTTGTGGAATATAATGCTCAGAAAATAGCACTTTCATATTGTTGGGTACTCAGGTTATTTTCTGTTTTCATATATGAATAAGCCTGCAAAGAGTGTTCTTGTGTATGTTTCAAGCAGTGATCTCACTAGGTCAAATGCATATTTCCTACACCATTATCAAATTTTACATTTAACATGGGGAAACTTTAAAAATTTTATTTTTACCAAGCTGATCAGTGTGACAACTATGTCATTATCACTTAATTTGCACTTTCTTGATTATAATGTGCTTGAGGAATTTTATATATATGCTATTAGCCAGTTGTAATTTCCTTTTTGTATGTTTCCTGTTTTACTGTTTTGCTCTTTTACAAAAACAATCAATGAGTTATATTTATTTTATACCTGTGACATCTATAAATATCTGTTTTCATCTTGCTACTCTAAATTTTCACATGAAAATTGGCATATAGATTTATATGTATTACATATTTTCTGTATGAATTTGGTTTTGTCTATCTTTAGAATTTCACCAATCCAAAATATAAATGCATTGAATTAATTCTTAACATTTTCTTCTGGTTTTGTTTCACATAGGTGAGCATTTAAGTCATGTAAAATATATAATTTTTTGATTAAATGGCGATTCAAATTTCTGATCTCAGTCATTGGTAAGTTCAGTATTTTGTAATGTTAACTGAAGCAGAATCATCTCAAATATTCTTGTGCATTTGTTTATTTACTGTCTTTGAGTTGTGACATCTGTCTCTTCTAACACTAAGTTTAAGATATATTTCAGTATCTGAAAAAGTGTATTTATCTTTATTGTTTTTTTATAAAATTGGATTTACTAAAGTGGATATTAATTATTCCTGCATTTTGGAATATGGTTTTCAAATTGTACCACAATTGTCAGAATTTTTCTTTTTTAACTACTAAATATACTGATCAAATTTGAAAGTACTGTTTTCTTTACTGTATTTGTCCTCACTAGCTATAAACCATAAAGAATTATCTTTACTTATCAATCTTTTAATCTTTAATAAAAACCAGTTTTAATCTTTTCCTATCTTTAAAGAAAATTCTATATTTAAGGGGAGGTTTTCACTTTAAGATATGTTTTAGATAACTCAAAGTTAAAATACTTTTTAATGTTTTACTTAAAAATAATACCACAGCTTGGCCCCATTTCAATTGAACTATTCCTTCTGTGACACTTCCAGAGACTGTGAAAAACAATGCACCAGGTATTAACTTGAGGTCCATGGTTAGGATTCAAATTGCAAGTCCATAAAATTCTCCAAAATTCTACTCACAATCTCTGTCTGTCAAATGTGTTTTTTTCCTATAGCTTTTTCATAGAAACACACATAATACAAAGGCTAAAATTCTCTTGCTGTTCTAATTTTTTACAAGCATGCCTACAAATTTTCACCAATAAATATATTGGCAAATATTGTGTGTGTGTGTGTGTGTGTGTGTGTGTGTGTGTTTAACCGTTGTGTGAAATATTTTGATTAAGTTATTTCTAGTTGCAGAAGGGAAGTAAGAGATGTAGTGTAAATGATATTTTGCACAAAATAAGTATTTCCTTTTTTTCAGTGATGTATTTTGGGATTTCACCTTATGAACATGCAGTGAGTTTGGTAAGGATAAAAACAATGGTTCGATTTAGAGCGATATGATGGGAAAATAGATGAAGTGAAGAGAAATGTCTGCACATGTGGGCTTTCATAAAAAGAAATGCTAGAAAATGTGTCTAAAGAGTGAAAATGATGAGAACCCCGGAAGAGATTAGAAAATGAGCTGGAGAATAAGGTAAAGTCTAGGAAACCATAATCATGCTGTAAACTCACACAATGGACCTTCTCTCCAAAGATTTGCTGTTTACTTTTTATTTCCTGCCACTTTTCAAAACGTTTATGAAAATATTCTTAAGATATTTTCTGAGATTGTTATCTAGAGGTTCAATAATTAACCTCAATTGAAGTATAGTTCTATAGACACTATCAAAATCTCAGAATTTAGCAATTTAGGAAGGACTGAGAATTATGGTAGTATTCCCCTTTAAGGAGTGGATAATTTCACTTTATGGCTGTTACACAGTTGCTAGATGTGAAAAACCCATTCTTAAGCTACAATACTGATATTGCACCTCAAAATTGAACTAAAATCTCTTTTCTTTCACCATGTTTTTCATGTTACGCACTGCTTTTTGAATCCATTGCAATTCCAATTATTTCCTATCTGTGCTTTACTGTTATCATCTATCTGCACTAAGGAATTGCCTGCCCTCTACTGGCAGCCGTTGCATGTATCTTATTACTTTCAGCATCTCTAAGATCTCTTATGCTGATTGAATCCTAATAAATGACATATATTTATTGAACAAAACTAACTTTGAAAGTAATTGAGTAATTTCAAAAAAGCGAGTGCTTCTGGTATACTTAGCTTATTCTCCCTTTGAATAAGCAAACACACAGTAGTAATGGAATATAAAAACATTACAGAATTTGTCCTCCTGGGACTTTTTAGTAATAACAATATGAAGGCTTCCTGCTCTCTGCTATTCTCACTTTGCTATCTTGCGATTCTCTCAGGAAACCTGGTCATTCTTCTCACCATCAAACTCAGCCACCTTAGTGAGCAGCCCATGTATTTTTTTCTCAGCTACTTGTCCTTCATGGATGTCTGTTTCACTTCTACAGTGGCCCCTAATCTGATCATAGATTTATTGGTTCAGTGGAACACCATCTCCTACAATGGCTGCATGGCCCAGATGTTTTATGCACACTTTTTTGGTGCCACTGAGATCTTCATTTTGGTGGTCATGGCCTATGATCGCTATGTAGCCATTTGTAGACCCCTTCACTACATGGTCATCATGAGCAGACAGGTGTGTTATATTCTCATGGTGGCTGCTGTGTTTGGAGCTTTTATCCATTCACTTCTACATGTCTTAATCATTATTGAACTTCCCTTCTGTGGCCCCAATCATATAGACCACTATTTCTGTGACATATTCCCTTTGCTGAAGCTGGCCTGCACTGACACAAGACTCTTGGTTATTATTGTCATTACAACCACAGGGGTGATGTCCATTTTGACCTTTGTTGCCTTGGTAATTTCTTATATCATCATCCTGTCTACACTGAGGACTCACTCATCTGAGGGCCAGCGCAAAGCCCTCTCCACCTGTGGATCTCACATCACTGTTGTGTTTATGTTTTTCTTGCCCCTCATTTTCACTTATGTTCCCACTGCTGAATCTGTCAGTAATGACAAAGTATTTGCTCTCTTTTACACCATGATTGCCCCCTTGTTCAACCCTCTCATCTACACGCTGAGAAATACAGACATGAAAAATGCCATGTGGAAAGTGTGGTGTTATGACAAAGTGTTTGAAAGGAATTGATGCCTCTTGTTTTGGAAACTTTGGGCCAATCTTGTTCGGTCCACAGAAGAAATGTCAACAAATGCAGCAGGTAGAGAGGTGGCAAGCTGTCATTGAGAGTTGCAAGACTTGGAGAGAGGCCAATCTCAGCCACCTTTACTGTGTGACTTTAATTCTCTAAGACTGTACATGAGGACATGGATCAGTTAATATCCAGTTCTGATGTTCTGGAGCATATTCTGCACTTAATGATCCCAAACATGATGGATAGTATTGTCTTGTTACTGTAGCAAATTTGAAAGGCTATGTGGTTTGGCAGTTGTGCTTCACCATAGGAAATAGGCATTGTCACTGAGATAACTATCACAGATGGAGAGAAATCCTAAGCACTTCCATTTTTAGGTTTGCTTTGCAATTAAAAAAATTAAATTTGAAAACGTATCTATTGTACATTTTAATTCCTTATACTAAAATTTATGCCTGTAAAGTAATGTAATTAAATGTAAGTATCCTATTCACCTTGTAGTTGATAGGTGGTGTCACTCAGACTGACTATAGGACAAGGACATCTATAGTTCAGTGACACTTGCCTTGACCAAAGTAAGTTGTTCTCATGTTGGTGCCCACTGTCTAGAGTAGTTGTGACGGGAGCGAGACTCCTGAAACAAGTCTTGGATTCAGCAGCCATGGTTGCGCAGTTTTTGCAGCTTGAGTGGCTGGAGTTGAGTTTCCCTGTTGTATCAATAATGTATTCGAAGCATCCAGACTACCATAACAGTCCAGTTGCTTGCAAAAGAGGGGGCTGCTTGATCGGCAGCTTCTGGGTCCAGGCAGTTGCATATAAGGGAAGGGTCTGCCAGATGTTAATCAAGGGCCCAAATAGCCTACTTCTCACAATTTAGCTTAGTTGTGGGCAAATACATAAAATAGTGTTAACATCAAAGGCATATCATAGTATTGCCATTCTTACTAGCACCTAACAGTGCTTAAACCCCATCCGAATACCCTTATAAAAGGTTGGGTCAGTGTGCAGTTTCACTGTGGCCCCAGGCTTCGGCACTTCACAGTGTCTAGGCCCTGGGTTCAGGTCAGCATCCTTGCCTTCAGTTACCAGTCTAGCACCCATGGGCATGGGCTACATGCTTTCCCTGTGTCAGGACAGTCATGGGATCCCATCATCCAGGTCAGCACCTCAGCCACTCCAGTAGCAGACAAAGACCAAGCTGGTCATAGTAGATCCTAATACTGCACTAACTTCCACAAACTCAGTCTCCAGAACAACTCTTATAAACTCAATCAGACTCCAGTTCAGCCCATCCACATATTATTCCTCTGTGCACTCAGGCTCAGACCAATCCCTGAAGCACCACTTATGAGACAAGCACCAGGCTGTTCCTAACCTCCAGATAAGACCCCGTGGACCCAGACTCTAAGCCTGTCTCAAAGTCAGACCAGTTTCTAGATCCAGTATCGTCTATCCTACAGCCTCAGATTCTAGAGTATTAAAGGGGCCCTGCCTTTTCCAGCATACTTAGGGTCCATGTTCACCCCCATAGACACCCTGTGTTAAACAAATCTCCATGGAATGAAGCTCCAAGATCAACATTGTGGACCCAGTCCACAAGCTAACCCTAGTGAACCCAAATCTTCCCCTGTAGACTCAGTTTCTAGGCCTGCACTAATACCAGGCCAGCCTCAGGGGTTGAAATTATTAGTCTTGTCCCAATGGATGCCAGCCAGAACAAGGTTTTTGCAGACTCAAATTCTTTTTCAGTAGACTTTGGCATTTTAGTAAAATATTGTATTGATTATGAAATGCTTTAATAAATATAAATAAAATATATGTGGTGAGTACAGTTAGCACATTTTTCAATTATAGTACAACTGTTTTTGTGTGTTTGGTGTCAGGGATTAAACCCAGGTCTCATATCTGTTAGGCAAGTGCTCTACCACTGAGATGTAACCCAGTCCCCAAAAATGTCTGTATGTGACGTAAGAAGCTAAAAAGGTTAAACTTTTTCTATAAATTGAACTTTTATTGTCATACATTTTTCTGCTATGTGTTCTTTAAAGCTCATAGAAAATACATTAATTCATTAATTTTCATCTTCAATCAGTATTTAGAAAATTTAGGAAGCAAAATTCAATACAAATATGTTGACTCCAGTGCTCTACATTTCTTTTTAATGTTCATAATTGTCATCTAGTGTTTTTTTTCTTCAGCACTGTGTAATTCTTTGAGCATGTATCTTCACTTTTTATTAATTGAAAAAGTAAGTATTTTAGCCCTAATATTGTAGATTATTTTCACTTAATGTAGAATTCTACATTGACGTTATTTTTCTTTCATTAAATATGTGTGTTTTTTGCACAATAAACTCCAAAGTTTCTGACAACAGTCAGCCATCATTATCCTTGTTCCTTTGCATGTAACATGGTATAATATGCTTTTTTGTCTATGCCTAAATATAAGATTATTTTTTTATTTTTTCTTTTGTCATCACAAGGGTTTGCCTAAATATAAGATTATTTCTTCATTTTTTCTTTTGTCATCACAATGCCTTGCCCTTGCAAAACAGGCTCTCTACTACATGAGCCACACTTCTAGCCCTTTTTTAGCTTAAGGTATTTTTTGGATAAGGTCTTGCACATTTTTCCCTGGCCAGCCACAGACAGCAGTCCTCCTATCTAGTTCTTCTACATACCTGGGCTTACTGTCAAGCACCATCACATCTAAATTGTTTATTGAAATGGAGTGTCACTAACTTTTTGCCTCAGCTGGCCTGAAACATGAGCCCCCCCAACCCCCCTTCCCCCTGCCAAACAATCTCAGAGTAGCAGGTATTACATCTGTGTAACACCACTCCCAGACACAAGATTAATTCTTTACACACGGCTTTCAGGTTTTTAAATGTGATATATCTATGTATGGTTTACTTATATTTTCCTTCATAGAGAAGACAGATGTTTATAATAAAACATGAAAATATTTCATATTTTTGCAATAGATCAGTAGATGATAGGTGATAGATAGATAGAGAGATAAATAGATAATAACTCATTCCTATGACACAAGTGTTACATATGAGCTTTATTAAATTTTAGGGGAGGTGAGTTGTGTTTTTAAAATGAACAATGTACCATGACAATCCCTCAGATTCTGAGGAAAAATACTACAACCTTAACAAAATGCCTTATTTTTTGGGAAAAAAAATTCACAGCACACATTGTTCCCTATCATTTAATAGTCCCTCTCACTTTTCCTGAGTGTAGTATAATTACTTAGAAAATTAAGGCCTCATTGTCAACTTGAATTAACATTTACAATTTTAATAAATTTCCCTAGCAATTCTGATGCACCTCGACAATACGAAAGTACAGATTTAGGGTCTCATTAGCACTCTGAAACAGAGGTAGTTAACTTCATTGTACAATTTTTAGAATCTGAAGTTGGATGGAGTCACTATCATTGGGTTGCGTTAGCTCCATTGATCGAAGTTCATGAGTAAGTAAAAATACCAACTAGTTTGTTGTTGAAATAATGAAGTTATAAAAAAATGAAAATATTTTAGGTATTATTTCAAAAATGTTTTAAGGACTATCTTTTTCTTCTTTTTTCCTGGGATTCTTCTTTTACATAGGTTTGAGCTTTTAGTACTGAACTACATGATTCTCACTGAGTCTCACATGTTTAAATTCCTTCTTATCTCTCTAATTTTAAAAATATTTTATCCCTATGTACAGCATGTTGGTTCATCTTCAAATTAATTGATTCTTTCTTCTAAACTGTACAGTCCTGTTGCTTATGTCATGCACTGATGACATAAAGATTTTATTTCTTTTTTAATTAATTAATTATTGTTGTGCTGGAGTACACTGTGAAATTTACCAAAGTTATTACCATATATCATAGTTGAATTCACCCTCTTCAGCATACTTTATCCTCCTCTCATTCCTGGAATAGTTTCAGTAGGTCTCATTTTTTTTTCATTTTCACACATAAGGCCATAACATTCCCACTTTATTTCCCCTCCTACACCTTTTCCCTACATCCTCCTGCATCTTACTGGTAGTAATTCCCCAGGAGGGCCTGTTTTACCTTCCTGATCTCTGTTTTTGAAAAAAGACAGTTTTGTTTGTCTGAGATAGCTATACAGGAAGTTTCATTGCAACATTTCCGTGTATATAGGTATCACAACCTGAATTGGTTCATTTCCTCTCTTTTTCTCCTTTTTACCTTAGTCCCCTTCATTTTCTTTTTATTATTGTGTTGGGTAAGGGCACATGGTGGCATTTACAAAAGTTCTTACAATATATCAAATATTTCATACTTGAATTCACTCCTCTATCGTACTTAATTCAATACATATCCTTTTCAATACTGTTAATGGCTCTGGTGCAGTCTGGGATCAGAAAACAACCAAGTTCTTTGTATCTCACATGGAAGATTCCTTCATGGGATATGTGGGTATATGGGGTTTATTAAAAGTTAGGAAAGGACAATACAAAAGGGAGCATAGTGGGGTCCAGATGTAAGCTGGAAGCCAAGAGAGAATTGTTTTGCTCTTCATGTTCTTTTAAAACCTAAGACAATGTATGGGAAGAGGAACCAGGTGATTCCCACCCAATAATCAATGAGTTGGGAGGGGCATGCAGGAACTGCAGTTCCTGGCCAGGTAAGAGTGGTTCTTGAACCAAAGCATGGCTAATCTTGTTATAGGGAATTTGTCTTTTCTGCTGATCTTGTTAAGCTTTAAGTACTTCTAAATCAGAGTTCATTTATGTATTTGCTCATGCAAAGGTCTCTTAAAGGACCACCTTATAACTGTATTCTGTGTCTACACTTTATCTAAATATGGTACAAACATTTACAAATTTAAAGATGTAAAGTTGTATTAAAAATGAATTAGAGCTCTTTTTTATCCAAGAGTGTTACATTTAAATCCTGACAGCCCCTGACTCCCACAGGTAACCTACCTAGGTGTGGCCTTAAAGGACAGTCTCACTCCCTGAGTCATGAG